GTCAGGCGGTGGCAATCCATAGGAGTCAAAGTAATACTTTACCGACCCACGTTTATACCAGCAGGTCCAATGCGTTCCAGGACCTTCCCAGCTATCGTGATTCAAGATTCCACATTCGATGCGGCGCAGGCTGGGTGGTAGGGTATCTCGCATGAACACCCCTCTCAAACTTGGGATTCCTAGGGCTGTGACGGCTCTCTCCAATTCCTTATTTGACAGGGGCTTATGGGGAGGAGGATGCCGTTCATGTGTATGCTGCTCATTTATCTTGGTATGGGCATTCGCACCCGTCAGAGACTGCCAAGTGCAGAAGAGGAGAGATGGGCATCCGCACCCGTCAGAGCCTTCCATTTGCAGAAGAGGAGAGATGGGCATCCGCACCCGTCAGAGCCTTCCATGTGCAGAAGAGGAGAGATGGACATCCGCATCCGTTAGAGCCTGCCAAGTGCAGAAGAGGAGAGATGGGCATCCGCACCCGTCAGAGCCTGCCAAGTGCAGAAGAAGAGAGATGGGCATCCACACCCGCCAGAGCCTGCTAATTGCAGAGGGGTGGTGGGAGGGAGGGTCCCACCTCAGTCGCGGGCGTCAGCGATTCGATAGTGTCCGTGGGCGAGGGTGCTAATGCCGTCTGGTAGGATGTGGCGCTTGGTATCCTTGGCAGAGAGGGCGACCTTGTTGATCTCCTGGGTGTAGATCTGGTAGAGGTGGCTGCGGATAATATTCATGGACTTGTAGACCTCCTGCTGCGTGTCGAGGCATCTCTTGTAGTCGTCGAAGGTGATGTTGCGATTGATGGTGGTCTTCGCGACTCCTTTGGCTCTCTTGGTGGCGGCGCCGTCATCCATATTGTAGGCGTACAGCTTCGGTCGGAGTCCCACGAAGTCGGTCATGCTCTTGCCGCCGCACTCGTTCTTGAACATGCCGATGATCTTCTTATTTGCGCCGACCAGAATTCCGGAGGGGTGGTCGGCCGGATAGTTCGACGTGTTGAATTTCTCCTTGACGTCGGGAGCGATATCCTTGTAGAAATCCTCGGTTCGGATCTCGTAGGCCAAGCTGTCGGTGTCGGTAAAGAGCAGCCGGGCGTCGTCGCCATACATCTTTCGCACGAATCCGTAGTGGAAGTCAATCATCAGGATCTTCGAAATATCCAGGATGCATGCTCCCAGGTAGACGGGCTTATCGAACTTGAGCTTCGTCTTCTTCATATGGACGGCTGCCAGGTTCTCGGTGAAGACGACCTGACGATCGAAGTTGGGCTTGGCTATGAGCATCAGCGCCTGCTTCTCGTTGGTGATCAGCCGGATCTCGACCCTCTTGCGGATATTTTCCATGGTCTTGCCGAAGACCGAATTATTCATGAGCTTAAAGAAATCTTTCTCGGCGTCGGACTTGGCCACGGCTCTGAGCTCGGTTTTTTTGTCGATGTACGGCTTGAGCCATGGGGATTGCCTAAATCCAATGATGCGATGGACCTTGGCGAGCTTCATCCCCCTTCCCATATACATTTTGAGGTTTCGATAGTGGAGGATGTACTTTGTGCGCTTACCTAGGTTAGGCACCAGCTTACGCACCTCGTCGATCTCCACATTCTCCGGCGCGAAAGGATAGTCGTTATGATCGTCGTGGAGATCTTGGGGGAATTTCAGGTCGCATTCCACCATGGCGCCATATTCGTGGTCGTCCGGATAGCTCAAGATGTCCTCGATTTCTGACGGCTCTATCCATTCGAATTGCGCCATGGCCCACCCGTAGAGATTGTTGGCGTCCAAGTAGGTCAGATACTTGGTCGGCTTCGACGCATCGTAGTCGGTCATGTAGGGATTGTTGGCCTTGCCATATCGATGGGAGATCATGGCCACACCCCCCTAGTCCCACCCTCGAACATCATCAGCATGTCCGGATCTGAGAGAAGCACCAGACGGACCCCAGTGAATTTCAGCGCCGCGTCGTAGGATAGCCCCGGGGCTGTGAAGTAGTGTGCGGGATCAAGCTCGTAGTTCACCATGCACGTATCCCTAAAATCCTCAAAGACATCCTCCAGTATTGCTACGTCGCTCTCCAGGTAGAGATTGTGATAGTCCTGCATCGTCCGACAGCTGAATTTCTCGAAGACCTGCTGCGCGTGCTCGTACTCCTCATCGCTGATGTGCGTGCCATAAAGTCTGCGGAAAAATTCCTCCTTGGGCGGTAGCTGCGTTTCCTTCAGCTTGGCGGGTCCATCCATATAATCGTAGGGATATACCCCCTTCCTAAGCATCAGTTCGGAGCGGTCGCCAAAGCACTTCTGCGTCGCGTTGAATTTGTCCTTGGTAAGATTCCCTGCCAAGGCTTCGAGAGAGCTGAGCATGAATCGCATGGAGTCGATGAACCTCATCTCAAGGTCTCCCACCTTCTTGGAGAAGCTGATGTACTTCTCGTCGTTGTTGGGGATGCAGGTGATCTTCCCTTCCCCGAATCCTAATTCCTTCACGAAAAGGTGGGCGTCATATCCACTCAGGTTGTGGATGACGATGGGCACGTATTTGGGGAGCTGGAAGTCAAGATTGCACTACCCGTGAGGTGATCGTGATCCCGCACCTTATCCTCACCCAATGCGCCACCGCAAATGTGGCAGAGTGTGCTCGCCGCGAAGCTCTCCTTATCTTCGTCCGTCATCGTCATGGGTTTGTTGTCCCGATAGATTTTGTCGATCTCCCCAACTTCCTTCTCCATGCACTTCATGAATTTCTTGGCCGCATCCTCCCCATAGTAGACGACCGATTCCTTGTAGTCGCCTTGGGCATACTTCACGCGGTAGCAGAAACCCGATGGTCGATGTAGCTGGTATGCCTTCGTGTAGGCTCGCGATGGGTCGGGTTGGCAGGTATCCATCTTTCCCGTGAAGCACTCGAAATCCGCGTAGATGGTGAATGAAACCCTCATCTGACGCTTGTGATGTTGGAAGCTGATGAGGGATCCTTCTTCCGGCATCTCGATTCTGACCGCCTCCTTCTGACCGCAGTACTCCATATGCTCGTCGAGGATGTCCTGCTTGGAAAAGTTGCACAGGCACCTGCGGCAGAAGTATACCGACTCTTTGTGACCTGTCACTTGAGACGTCAAGAGTCGCGACAAGCTTTTGATCCAGCAGTAATGCTGCTTGCTATCGCTGGTTAGGAAAAGGAGATCAACGTGCTGCGCGCCGGTGTTCTTGGATATCCTTAGGAGATATATCTGGAGGTCCTCTTCCCCATCCTCACCTTTCTTCAGACCGTCGTAGCCAAAGACGTTGATGTTGAGGTCTGCATTCCGCCTCTCGAATTTATCGATCGCCTTGAGGGACACAGGAAAGTCGATATCGTCACATTTTAGCTCGTCCCCCCACTGCTTGTACTGGCTTACGTGGTGTGTCGACTTCTGATCGACTTCCCTGTGATGTAGGGCTGAGAGAATGGCCAAGCGGAAGCACTCCTGATCTTGGTTTTGGACGTTGATGACGGCTTTCTTCTGAGCGAGTGGATTTGGGAGTGGTATGTAGGAGCTGCCCCTAAGTGGCTTGAATTCGTTCAGGTGGATCTCTAGCTGCTCGATGTGGGCGAAGGTCCATCCACTACCCTCGCGCATATACCTTGACATGCTTTCCTTGATCTTCCCTACCATGACCTCAATCTCGAAGTCGAGGTCTGCTGATTCGGTGATGACTGTCTGGGCTGATCTGAAGTAAGGGATGACGTAGGTGTTCCCCCCAGTCGCGGGATTCGTTTTGACCAGCTCCACTTTCAGCACTAGCTGTAACTTCAAGCCCTTCTTTCGAGTGAGGGCATCTTCGATCGTCCTGGAGATGGTGCTGCGACTTACCTGGAAAAACGTTTCCAAATCATGCTGCTGGAGCGGGTCGATTCTGACTGTGTCAAAGACTCCTTTCAATGCATCGCGTCGGTCGACTACCTTGATCTCGTCTTCCACTGGGGCATTTTCGATATCCTTCTTCACCAGGTCGGTTAGGGCAGCTCTTCCTAGTTGGGAACATTTGGTGATTCCGCGTCTTTTGGTGATGGCCTTCAGCTCCTTCTTTGTGAAGGCCTCTTCGCGGGCAAATTTCCGGTTTGTTTTCTCCTCGATGAGTTTGACCAACTTCTCCTTCAACATCCTGCTGACCCCCCTCAGACCCTCATCCTTAGCTATTCAGCGAAGTTCCTTGATGGTCTCCTTGACCTTAATCTTACCTCCAATGGGGATATTCTCGTCATCATCGTCCTGTTGACGCGGTTGCTTGCTATGCCTCCAGCAAAGCCCAACCATTCCCGGCTTACTCTTGCAAAATTGCCCCTTCTTCCTCTTCAAGGGAACACCGCAGGTTAAGGGTACTTCACCCTGAGCATGCTCAAAGGGCTGATACACCTCTTCTATACCACAGGTTTGGCACATGCGGGTCCTATCATCCACAGGTACCATCATGTGGTTGCTGCAGTGCTGCTGAGGGGTTGGGATTGGGGTTGGGGCGCTATCCTCCAAATCTTCCTCATTCTCCAAGAAGAAATCTGCGTACTGATCCATGATATTTTTACCCGATGCCATCCTTTTATTTATTTTAATTTGGGGCACCCTTCCCTCTGAGGTGTCTTCCTGTCCCATCCTAGGACTCCTCAGCTTCTCCATCTTCTGTATGAATGCCATGCTTGTATTTACTTTATACTCAACTGGGAGGCGGTCCGTTTGCATTCCGGAGCTGGGGTTGGGGGTCCTATGCAGGTTTTGCCCTTGAAATGGGGGAGTGCGGCAGAATCCCCCTTTTCACACTACTGCGGGAACAATAGACACGCCGAAAAATAAATGCTATGTACTTAATATAGACCTTTATAGCTTGCTGTTCGGTGTGAGCCAAGGCTCCGTGTTGAAGACCGTACTTTGACCTATAATGGTTTACTTTTATAAATTTTGACTTGGATGGAGAGTTGTCTCATTGGCACTCATACCACATCATCTTATATCTTTTTACAATTGTTCTTCTTTTTCAGGACTTTTTGAACTCGTTGAATCGACAAAAATTGATCCTGAGTGAGTATTTGTTAATATAAAGATATAAATCAATGCTTATGTATAAAATAAAAATAGACGTAACATATGATACCTTAGTGACATAGGAAGCTATCACCCTTTAAAAAAAACAAAAGCGACTGCACTCAAAGTAGTGTTGGAAACTGAAGTACAAAGCAGGACCGAAACAATTCCAAAAGACAAATACTATAGCGCAGTGAATTACAGAGACATGCGTACGTGTAATAAGTGAAATCCGGTGCTTTGGAAAGGTTATTATTCCCTGCTCCACACTAACCACATGCACCCCCTGCGTAGTCTAATAGCTAAACACAGCACATTTCAATTTAAAATCTGCTGTGAGAGCAGCATACGTGAGAGTTTTATGTCTTTTGTTCTTCCTGGGGGAACCCAAATGATTTGATCGGGGTGTAAATATATGGTAATCCCTAGACTTATCCCACCCAACAGCAAAAATATACAACATGCTAAAGAGAGGGAGTCCGTTTTGCTTTGAGGGATGTACAAATACGCAGTCACGTCCGATCGGAATGGAAACGTTAATTCCAATGCCAAGGCCAATTTTCAGGAAGAGTGTCACGTTTCCTTAGTTTGAAAAACTCTTGCAAAGAGGTGTCTGTAGGTAGCCAGGTTCTCTTTCTCCTCCCCTATCAAACATATTCTCACTTTCAAGTACATGTAGCAGTCGAAATTCCATACCTTCATCCCGGTCGACCCACTTTGTGGAACCTACTTATTGGAACTATTGGTGAAGATAATACATGAAATATTTGCCCCTAGATGTTACATGTAAACAAACAACTATCAATATTTCATTGTGATGGCCCTTTTTTTTTGCAAAAATGATTAACAAATAGCTGGTGATAGCTTTGAACTACTTTTTGTCGACATCAACAAAGTTCTGAGTAGTTTCTGAGGCAAAGGAATAACCGTATTTCACACTAGCCCACAAACAGCATATGAATACGAAACACCGACAAGAGATGTATGCATACTATAAGAAACATTTACCTTTTAGAAATTGATATTCAAATTATTAGGGATATGTGTTATAAAATATGGATACCAAATAGTATTAATAATTAGCAAGAGATGTAATATGATACAATATTAGGGAAATTTATGATGTTTTATTATTTAGAAATTGTTTTTCGTATTTTAGTACCAATGAAAAGGTATCGCAAATTTAGTCTCCATTCTTTCTTTAAACATATTTTTATAAGCGACATAAACTAATCTTTAAAAGACTTTTAGTCGATCTATTGATAGCATCGATTTCCTATCTTATAACAAGTGTAAATGTACTAAGTGCATGTGTATACGGTAACCACAGACTAGTATTTTTATCTATAATCCAACAATTTAATTCGACAATGCAATCAAATATTTTTATGATTTTGATGATTATAAATAATTTCATTCAAATTAAATTTTTCAGCGCTGGTTTAAAATATTATATTATCGGCGGAACCGTCTTGGGAATATTCTTCGCCATTGTTGTGGTTTCATTGTATGTCCTCTGCTGGTGCTGTAGATTACAGAAGCCTAAAGAGGATATGACGCAGTTAAAGACACTAGATGTACGGTCACGTTTTAGTGAGGCAACAACACCAAAACACGCTGTCATTGCAAGTAAGCCATTTATCACATATTTTACTTTTTTGGTGTGTTTAACCCCGCCGCATTTTTGCGCCTGTCCCAAGTCAGGAGCCTTTGGCCTTTGTTAGTCTTGTATCATTTTTAATTTTAGTTTCTTGTGTATAATTTGGAGTTTAGTATGACGTCCATTATCACTGAACTAGTATACATATTTATTTAGGGGCCAGCTGAAGGTCGCCTCCGGGTGCGGGAGTTTCTCGCTGCATTGAGGACCCATTGGTGGCCTTCGGCTGTTGTCTGCTCTATGGTCGGGTTGTTGTCTCTTTGACACATTCCCCATTTCCATTCTCAATTTTATTGATTGATTGATTGATGTTTAACGCCACTTTCAGCGCTATAAGCTATTTCGTGGAAGTCAGTTTTTTTAAGTGGAAGAAGCCCGAGTGCCTGGAGAGAACCATCGATCGTCTGCAGGGAACTCACAACCCCAGTGTTGACAGACTAGTGATACAGTAGTTGGACTACTTAGAGCACTCGGCCACCGAGTCCCCTGGTGTGGAGTAAAACAAATGTCCTTCTTCTCGCTGTGTATGCAACTTAAATTTTGACTTTAATCTTTGGCAAACATTATTATCTTAGTAAAAACACCATCAGACCGCTCACAGATTTGTTTGGAAAACTCTACATTAATATAGGAGGGTCATTTAACCATCTTTATTATTAATTTCAAAAAGCCCGCATGAATAAGGAAACAATGAAAATTAGGCGAAATTATAGAGTTCATACCACAATATATTTATTTCAACATTCATGTGTGTTTTAGGTATGGCACCACGCAGAGATTTCATGAAAAAAGGAGACGATCCATTGCCTTATAAAAAGAAACCCAGACTTCTTAGAAGAGAAGAAAGTTATGTCTAACAGTTTTGTTAATGACTCAAAGGGGATTCCCATTGAATATATTTACGCAGTATTAAAATAAATATCATTAAAAGGTTCAAAAAAATTGTTATGATTTGTTTCATTAGGGGTTTTAAGTACTAGACTTGGTTTATGATATAAAATGAGAATAAAATGAGAAGGTTAAACAAGATCAACACAAAGTTTGGTAATGCGTTGTTGATTGAATACTATTTATTTTTCATTAGGTATACAACAGACATATGGATTAGAGATATCCATTGGTTATCAATCTTCGAAATGTGTTATACATTAGCCCGAGCTATTGTGAGCCTAAATCCATCAATTTGAGATCCGATTCATTCAGTCGAGGGTTATGCTAGCAATGAGCTAAACGCGAAAAAGAAGACGTAGATACTCTTTCCTCATGGGTTGAGGCTGTGAGGTTGTTGATACAAATTAGAAGTAAAAAACTGAATGGGTCTATGAATACACATCCCACATCTATCTTTAAACGCCCAAGCGTTGCTCTTTAAATACCCAAACGTTGCTACGCACCAACATTGTTTTGTGAGTAAATTACCATATAAAGCAACGATGTGGTTTGAATGCCAATGAGACAACTATCCACTAAAGATCAAATGAAGTGGATTTAAGCAATTATAGGCAACCGAACTGCCTTCAACAATGAGAAAAAAACATACTGTATGGTCAGCTATAAAAGGCTACGACATGAAAAATGTGAACATATATAAATTAGTACATTACATAAACTGCTTGGTAAAGGAAATAGATATTGACAAATCACTTGGAATCTCAACATACACCCCAACGACACTTATCAAAGCTGAAACCCTGAATAACCATAGGTCAGTTCTATGTTCCTTTTAAATTTCAACCAAAAATGAAAAACTGGATCTCTCTTCGCCATATTGGACACCTAAATAATATAAGTGTCCTTACACACAACGTAATATTGCTGCGTCTTCCAAGTGCTCTACGAAACCTCTTTCATAATTTTTAACATCAATGTTATCAGCAACCAAAGAAGAAACGACCTACCATAGGGGCGGTGTGAGTCAGATATGGATACTAACAAATTCCAATGATCTTTTAGAGTACATACAATATAAATCTCTTTCCTCTTGCAATTTTAAAACATTTGACTTTTCTACTCTTCACACATGTACTCCCAATTCCAAACTAAGAGACAATTTTACAGAATTGGTCCTGCTTTTGTTTCATAAAAAAGAATGGCCAACGTAGATACAAATATCTTGTTTCATGGAGAGATAAATCGTACTTTGTAGAAAGATACCACTCTGGTTATCCGAAACCGATATTACCAAGATGCATGATTTGTTAATAGACTACATATTTGCTACGTTTGGAGAACCTGTTTTTCAACAAAAAAAAACGGCATTCCTATTGGAACCAACCGTGCTCCTTTTCTTGTCGACTTTTTCGTTTATTCATATGAGGCAGACTTCATCCACACTGTGTATCATCGCCACCGGAAATTGGGTACTAACGAAGCGGAGAGAAATGGAAAAAAAAGTAAACAAGGTAAGAATCCATTCAATTTAAAGCATTTCTACTGATTTGACGAGGGTACCGCTTAAGAAATGATTTTCTGATATATAATTCTTTAGATTATTAGGCCGATAAGTACAAAATTAAGACAATATTTTGTGTTATACTCCAAAGCTTGCCACTTAGTACCTGAAAATTTCGAGGTCGATTGTCCTCTGTCGCCCCATTGGCAAGATATTCAACTGTTTTTCATTATTTTTCCAGACACGTTTTTAGATTTTGATAGTGTGACATCATATTGACTGAAATCTGTTGTCATAAAGATGTTTTTAAAGAATATGGACCAAAACATTGTTTGTTTATTGTACGGCGAATTGCAGGACGTTGTACGGCGAATTGCAAAATAACAACTTTTGTCTGTACGGCGTCTTGCAATATATTGTAATTTAAAGATGAAATTTATCACTGTTTAGATAATATCAAGTGACGAAATTTTGGCTGTATCAAAGCTTTACCGGCTTACAAATATACAAAATAAAGTACTTATCAAATATTATAAAATATATGTCGTTAATTTCGCTCAGAAGTCGTCGTTGCGTACCTCTATTTGACTTTGTGTTCTTGAAGACAAAAAGGTTTTTTTTCAACCATATTATCCTAAATATATACATTCATATATCGTTATAATACTAACGACTGTTGTCTTATTTGTTGTCAGGGTGAAATTTTGTAAGTTCAATAAAAAAAAACAGACCATTCATCTATTGTTGGTGCTGTTTATTTTTTTAAATATAAACAGTGGCGATGTTGTATGATTGCAAATAAGATAACTATCCACCAGGGTCAAATAAAGTGTATGTAAGCAATTATATGCTATCGTTTGGCCTTCAACAACGAAAAATCGTACCTTACAGTCGGCTATAAAAAGCCCCGACATGAAAATTGTGGAAGGATCCAACAAGAAAACTAACGGCCTAACTCATAACAAAACAATTTACGAAAAATAACAAATATGATAGAGATGAACCAACGACAACCACCAAAATACAGGCTCGTGGCTTCGGACAGACACATAAAGAATGTGCTGGGTTAAATAGATATAGGAAGATGTGGTATGAGTGCCAATGAGACAACTCTCCATCCAAGTCACAATTTATAAAAGTAAACCATTATAGGTCAAGGTACGGTCTTCAACATTGTTTATTGTTTATTTTTTAAATTTCTGAAATGAATAATTTGTTAAAAGAAAAGTGAAGGAAATACTTTGTTTTTCATTGAAAATTAGGAGAAATAAATCATGAATTGTGTTTCGAATTAATTTTCTTGTTTCTTATTGAAAATAAGATTGTATTTTTTTTTTTAGTTTAAGTAAATTCAATCAATCTTTATTTACAGGGTAAAAAAATAAAAGACTGTTGCTAAGGCTGTTTGGCCTAAACTTAAATGAGTAGATGGAGGGGTAGTGAAAAGGAGTGTATTCGTCCGAATTTTCATTGTTACAGTAGTACATTTTCATGATTACTATGTATAATATTTCTCAGTAAATTTTAATGTGATATTGTGCCAATTAAAATTATATAATTAATACAAGCAAAATTGCATTTACCTTAAAAGATATAGCAGTACGTGATTATTTGTTTTCAATCACACCTTCTCTGTTTTGAAACTTATAAAGGTCTCGGCCTATCTGTTTGGTTGGATATAAATGTGAATTCATAGAGTTTCAAAATCAACAGTAAGCCCTATTTTTGTGTGTGTGTGTACATAATCTAATCTTTAGATAGATGCTAAAATTAACATCATTTTTCTTAATAAGAAGAAAAAAGTGCAACTTAAGCACGCCTGAATGTAAAAAGGTGTACCCGACTTATTCGTTCACGATAAGAATCAAATAAATAAATGAACGCTATCAGATCAACATTTAAATTTACGTCGATTTTTCCAAAAGAATTTATGAGTATGCACCATCAGGATTCAAAAATATTTCAACCTGTCCTTATTAGATGTTATTTCATTATAATTCTTTAAACTTACAAGTCGAAGATGCTAGCTTTTGTGAATTGTATTAATAAGTATATAATATTAAGATGACAACCAAAAAAAACTTCATACAAGGTCATCTTTATTCTCAAGTAGAAAGTTTATATAAATAGTTTATGCCGTAGCCACAGCCGGATTTGTATCCCTTGTATCGGATTCTTCTTTCATTCTTTCTAAAAATGATTAATCTAGTAAGGTTAATATTTTTTTTAAACAGTGTTAGCCACCAAGCTTGTTCATTTCTTACTATATAGAGATGAAGTTTTTTTTAGAAAATTAATGTTCTTTATTCTAATATATTGACTGTATCTGCCTTTTACAAATAAGACAATAACATTAATTGAAAAAGGAGACGTGGAATGGTTTTCACTGAGAGGACTTTCAAACAAAGTCCAAATGAAATAGATTTGACCAACTATTGGTTACTATACACTTCACAATGAACAAACCCCATACCGTATCAAAATTGCCTGATTTATGACAAAATCATAAACAAATATGCCAGACAGCAACTTACGACAGCCGCTATATTACATGTTCCTGACCAGGGACAGACACATATATATTGAGGCGGGCTTAAACATGTTTGTGAGCACTAAAACCTCCCTTAACATGGTGCCGTGGTGTAGCAATACAACATTTTTTTTTGCAGAGAATGATAATTCATTTATATTTCATTTTATCTGAAAGTTGAAAGAGAATTCATGCATTCACTTAATGGTTCTAAATATTCAATGCGGAAAAATTCTCCTGCCATTACCTCCTTCCTTCCCTCCACCCACAACCCATCCCCGAAATGTTCATCACTTATATGCAAATGCTGACTAATGTTGTATGGTTAAAACATTTGGTTGAGGCAATCTAAAGTTTGAGAACAGAAACGACAGCTTTAGCTTTTTTTCATTTATAAAAGGGCATAACTCAAGAACGGTAAAGTGACGCTACCCAATTTATAACTTGATCTGTGTTTTGTGGTGATAAGCATTTCGTGTAAGTTTTAAAACATTTGGTTAAGGCATACTAAAGTTAGAGAACGGAAACCAATTATTGGGACTTTCTGGACGGACGGGAGAGACGGGTCGGACGGACATGGGTAACGTTTAACGCTACGTCAGGGCAGAACAACAGTTCAGTAAAACAGTGACATGCCTTTTCGAAAGTTACAAAATTTGCCAGCTTTTGTATATGCCGTATTCATACTGTATACTTCAGGTATGTAAAAGATGTAATAGGACTGTGTTCAAGCCTTATATTGTGTATACATCTTAAATGGTGTCAAGCGAATTGTATTTTTATCAAATGCATAATTAGATATTTGAACCTAATACTTTATTTTCTTTAAAAAGACGGCAAATAAATATTTTGAAATTAGCAAGTTGCCATACAGTTGAAAACAAGTTGCCATACAGTAAATTTGTCAACATGAGCAAGTTGCCGTACCCTAGACTTTATTTTTTATGGTCTATATTCTTTAAAAACGTTCATTTTGACAACAAATTTCAGTAAATATGATGCCACACTATAATAATCTAAAAAAGTGTCTGGAAAAATAATGAAAAACAGTTGAATATCTTGCAAATGGGGCGACAGAGGACGATCGACCTCGAAATTTTCAGGTACTAAGTGGCAAGTTCTTGAGTATAACACAAAATCTTGTCTTAATTTTGTACTTATCGGCCTAATAATTTAAAGAATTATATATCAGAAAATCATTTCTTAAGCGGTACCCTCGTCAAATCAGTAGAAATGCTTTAAATTGAATGAATTCTTACCTTGTTTACTTTTTTTTTCCATTTCTCTCCGCTTCGTTAGTACCCAATTTCCGGTGGCGATGATACACAGTGATCCAGGAGCTTATAAAATGAAAAGAAGCTAGCATTATCCTTTAACTCCATGCAGATGATTTCTTCTCACTAAACAATTCAAAGTTTGGTGATTATGATGAACGCTTTTTCAAATCGAACTTTAAACCAGATCTAGTTAAGTCTGTCTCCTATCTTGACTTACATCTAGAAATTGACAAAGAGGGACGGTTGAGAACAAAACTTTACGACCAAAGAGATTACTTCAGCTTCCCAATCGTGAATTCTTCTTTTCTATGTAGCAACATTCTAGCAGTGCCTTCGTCTCCCAGTTGATCCGATATTCCAGAGCTTGCATTTCCTGTCATGATATCCTTGATAGAGGAATGCTTCTTACTATTAAGCTAGTAAACCAAGAGTTCCAAGTCAAAAAGTTGAAGTCATCCAATCAAAAATTTTACGGACTGGGTCTCCAGTTGCCATATTGGACACCTAAATAACATAAGTGTCCTTACAAACAGCGTTATATTGTTGGGTCTTCCAAGTGCTCAACGAAACCTCTTTCATAATTTTAACATCAATGTTATCAGCAATCAAATTGACAAAGAGGGTCGGTTGAGAACAAAACATTACGACCAAAGAAGTAAAGTAGAAGTCATTCCTTCAAAAATTTTACGGTCGCAATCACGAGTTGGTTGACAGTTATAGAATATCAGTTACTCAAATGACGACGGATATGTTTCAATTGTCGTAACAATAATCCCGTCCTCTTTTTCTCGAATGAAATCTACCGAATTCAACTTGTCAACAAATTTGTACTTAAATGAGCAACTCGACGGGTGCAACATATGGTGTAGGATCTGCTTACCATTCCAGATCAGAGCACATGAGATCATGCCAGGTTTTTGGTAGGGTTAGTGTTACTCAGTCTTTATTAATCTAATGTTGCTGTTGTCTGTCGTTTTCGTTTTTTGCCATGGCATTGTCAGTTTGCTTTCAATTTATGAGTTTGAATATCACCTTTGGGAGCTTCCACCTCCCTTATATATAAAGTAAAGATGTCAGCGAGTAACTTCTCCAGGCAAAGTTCATGTAAGTACGGTTTGACTAGTTATGTAACTTTACTAAACCTTTTCCAACAGAAAAATGTGGATCTGTTCTGTTTACACTCTTTTTGGGTTCAGTGATGCTGATAAATGTGTTATGTATTAGTATCCGAGCGTTTGATATCGAGTGCACATAATGAATTGTATTCAAGACAAACATATCCTGCGCCAAATATTTGATAAGTTATGTTTATAATAAGCAAATACAAACATGTTCATCAGAATTATGGAATAATAGAAAAATGAGACCAATTATCAGTTCATTTTTTATTTCTCTGTTTGTCTTATTCTTACATAGTAGTTTCAAATTTAAAAACACACTTACATCATACTAAATTACAATGCATTATGGATATTTTTCATAGTGATAAGCATGTGGCCAATGCGCAAATATGTTTTGACGTTTAAAACTTATTTCACTTATTTGGGAAACTCGCAAAATACTTTTAAATTCAAAAACATGAACTCCGTCCACTTGTTTTAACAAGCGTTCACAAATATAGTGACAGTGCGATTGAAGCAAAAAATGAACTAGACAAAAAAAAGATTAATGTAGTTTCAAACAGTAAAAAAGTGAGGAGAAAATAATGAAAAGAAATCGGGGGTAAATCTATCCGACATATATTACATTGGATCCGGTATTACTTCGTTTGTAAACTTCCTGTCTCCCAGGTAAACATTATCCTCACATTGTCTGAATTTTCTGGTTTCTCTCCAAACACACTCTTCGCCATTATGAAAACATATGCCATCGTCATGGTAACAATCGAACATATCTCCGAATTCCCACTCGCATGTGTTGTTGCTGTCAAGTTGTCCACACTGTCCTTCCCGACAGATAGCAAACTAATAAAACAGAAACTGGTCATTAACAAGTGTATATATATATTAATGATAATTAAGTATCCAGTCAATGAAGTGTCAATCAAATTTAGCAAAAATAGAAACGATACGAAAGCCCCGTTTTATTTTAGATCAACGCAATATTAATAGTGCAAATACACTGACTTTTACATTTTATTTAATTAACTTTGTAAGAGTTGCATTGTCGCTGGACTACCGCCTAGGACACGTACTATTATATCAATTAAAATTCCCAGATACACTATAAACTGCCTCTTACACCCGTTTCGTTTGACCAATAGCAAAATTCGAATTGATTCAAAATCCTACGAATCAATTACCCTGTAAGCAAAATGCTGTCAGGAACCTTTGGTTTTCTCTTCTGATATTGTTTCACATTTTGTTATACCGGAGCCTTTCATAGCTTACTTATACGGTTATATTCATTGTTGAAAACCGTGTGCTAGTGATGAGTCTCAACACTGCAATCAATAACGTACTTCAATTTGTTTATAACCGATACTGTAGTTTTGAAGACGAATTACTAATGGTAATATATACAGTAATGAGCAAAAATAAAGTGACATAAGGTCGGGATGAAAACCGCAAATAACTTTACAGTCAATATAGACTTACCTCACACTGACATCCAGTTTCATATTTAAATCTTAGACCATTTTTCTGTGCCTTTGTCAGATTATGATATGGTTTCACCCAGTCACAGATAGATGTTTGAAGAGTATCATCATATATAAAACCTGTTAGAAACAAAGAGAATAACAGATGAAACTCTCCTTAAATTCCATTATTCTGAGAGGTAGTCAAGAACAATATTGCAATCAAAAGACAATCATGTAACACGTTTTCTGCTGTAGATGTTTAAAAACTGAGTGCAATTTGAATCATTGTGGAAGTTACCAATATATTACAATTGTAAATGCATAAAGTTAATCACAAACTTAGTTTTCTTGCAGCAATGATAGTTGAAAAAATACTCCAAGATTCAAATCTCGAAGAATTACTTACCTGTTATGAGGTAGTTTACTCCCATTTCTAAATCTCTAACCCCAGTCGAAGCTGCGGAAGATACAACCATGGTCTTTGTTGCATTTTCATACTCTGGTCCTGCCTAAAAGGTTGATAATATTTACTAAATGGTACAAGTTGTATTTAAAATTACTATTTAGGTTTTGTAACTGATTTACAAGACAGGGGCGTGAAAATATTCGAGTCGCGCATGTAAATCAGTTACAAATCCTAAATAGTACTGAATTTGATTTGGTTCACATACGTATTCATGAAGTTTTTCCCGTGGCACATGCGATAAGTTTTTATTTTTGCTTCACCGAAAGATCTCTGCGCATAAGTATAATAGCCTCTGAACATGGTGGACGATGCAGAGGGATGACTATTTAGGATAGATAAAGCCACACGGATTTGACTAACAAGGATATTGCTTGGAAGGTAAGATTTTTTTTATAACAAAGAGATTGAACCTTATAACCGATATGCCTTTTTAGATATAAATATATTAGTTTTGGTTGCTTTATATGCATTAAATATTTGTCACAGGACGATAAGCAAAAACAGTAAATCAATCAATCCATCAATGCAAATTTTACTCAAATATTCAGTTTTCCATTTTTGTCGCATGTTTTCAACAGCAATGTTTAGCAATCATAAATATTTCTATGCCATGAACATTTTGGTATTTTTAGCTTTTTTTTGCCCAGGCTATTGATATTGGGTAGTATTCGGCACTAGCTGTTCAATTTGAGAACCGTTCAACCATGTCACATGAACGGAGGTCAAGTTCGATTTTGACATTTAACCGGGTCTGTAGTCCTTTTTAACAAGTGACCATTGTTCAAGAGGGGAATAAAATTGACAGAAATTGATCATATGGCATATTTCTTTTTTTGTTCTGTCATTGTCTGTTTAAAATGAGCAGCATTCTTGGAGGGAGAGGAGCCAGACTGAACTACAACTTCCACTCAGTGACGTCATACGTATACCGTACACTGACTTCCATTGTCGGAGCTTATACGATAGGAATTTATTAGTCTTCAACATCATTACTATTTATAGAACACACGTGTTTATTTGAAAACACATGAAATCATGACACAAATCAATGAAATATACTATACCTTTTGTGACTATTCGGGATCCGCATGGGTACATTTTCAAAACAAAAATTATAAAAAAATATAAAGATAAAGTCCTTTTTAGCTAACCTGGCCCCAAGGGCCATATGAGCTCATCCCATCACTTGGCGTCCGTCGTCTGTCGTTGTCCGTTAAATTTTACAAAGATCATCTCCTCTGAAACTACTGAGCCAATTTTAACCACACTTGGCCACAATCATCGGGGTAATTATTTTTAAAAATGTGTCCGATGATCCCGCCCGCCAACCAAGATGGCCGACATGGCTAAAGATAGAACATAGGTGTAAACTGTAAGTTTTGTCTATTATTTTGAATTCGCTATAAATAAAGAAAATCTGATAGTATAAGGGCAGAAATGTTCAAAATGTTGAGCTCTACCTAACATGTATTTACGTCAAAACTGTCAGACAATTTCTTATTGGAGTTATTGGCCTAAAATGAGGAATGTTACTACTTTTTCCATTTTGCCTATTATCTTGCAAACTATAATAGATAGAGAGAAACTTTAAACAACAAAACTGATCAGCAAGATCTTCAAATCAGTCAAAAATAGCGGGAAATCATCAATGATCGACTCCTTATTAGAGCTATTGCCCTTTAATGACAATTTTTACCATTTTTTTGTGTTTTTGACTAAATTCTTTAAAACTACAATAGATAGAAACTTTAAACAGCATAAGTGATCAGCAAGACAAGATCTACAAATAAGTCTAACAGCCGAATTCTTCAGTCAACTGGTTATTGAATCTATTGCCCTTTAATGACGATTCTTACCAATTTTTGGCGTTTATGCCTATTACCTTGAAAACTATAAAAGATAGATAGAAACTTTAAATAACAAAAATAATCAGCAAGACAAGATCTACAATCAAGTCAAATTCGGCCAAAAAAAGGAAAGCTCAAACCAAAACATTTGAAAACCAGGGATCTATAAATACGTAGAAACGTTAAGACCTTAATCAGACTGGTTCCCTGTCCTTTATCTGTTTGGCTCTGACAGATATACAACAAAGGTATCTGAGATACCCGTATGTTGCAAGGGAGAGGACCAGCCTAAGACCTTAATGACCATAAGGAACCATAAAAAAATAGCCAAATTTATTTACGGTTAACTTTGTCTGAGAGAGTTGGAACCTCATTTTCGTAGTTATTTGTTAACTTATCAATTTTAGACCATGTTATATATCATGTCAATAATAAAGCTTCTGATAAATAATGTTTTTACCTTGAAAACTTTTTTGATGTTGACAATATAATGAAAACTAACAGGAACATCACCATGATAGATAACATCTTTGTCCAAGATTCCGGCCAAAATGACTGTAAAAGGAAAATAAAGAATTGTACATTATGTTAGACATTGTAGCAGGAAAATGTACCATTTACGCATTAAAATTAAACTTCTTAGTTGATGCGATATTCCGGATTGTGTTTCCCTACACGATTTTTTTTTAATCATAAAGGGTGGTTGCTGTTGAAAAAAATCAGTAAAAAAGCGAAATTATGAAAAACCTGGTCTATTTGACTTGTACATTCTTAGAAATGATATATAGCACAGCCTTCGTCGAAAAGATATTTAATAAAAAGTAAGTGAGTGTATTTTATGTTTATCTATTCACTGGCAAAACATTGTGGTGACTCGTGTGATCTATGTTTATTTACAAAAAATGATCTTAAAATTAGCCTAATTTTGCTAAACATCTTAAAAATCGAACTTATGGCATTCCTTTAATGATGTCATAGTCAAATTGTGTCATCAAGACTGGGCTTATATTCGACACATTATTGGTAGCTGAACAGGTTAAAGACTAATGTAAACGATAACGGCTTGTGTAAATGCTACCTTTTAAGACTAGTAGTGTAAACGATACAGCCTATAGTGTAAATTATGCCTAAAAAGATTAAAGACGAGTGTAAAAGATGCATTTTTTGTTAATCTGTTGTTTTATGTCTTGTATTTGAAGATTATTAAACTATAAATTAATTTGTTTCTCAAATTGTCAAATTTTCTTAACGACAGTCATCGTGGTAAGAAACAATTGAGCTCTTAATCATAATGTTATTAATACACAAAAGTGTGACCTAGAATTGTTTTATCGTTAAACAATAATAATACCACCACTTAAAATATAAACAAGTGTTTTCCGTCTCATTGTTAGTGTGAATAAGCCCTAATTTTAACTCGTGTGAAGAGTTGAACGAAAATTTAAAATATTTACCCAATCCTTAAACTGGCAAAAATACCGAAATGTCAAGACGTTTCATTCAACACTGACATGTAACTTTTACATTGACAAAACAAAACGTACAATAACCAGAATGACAGCTGTAATGCTCTTGGTTGCTTGAAGTATTATAAACTACAAACTGTAATTTTACTATTAGTAATTGATATAATATTAATTGTTACGCATAACATACGACAAGTTTTTCTGTAATAAACATTTTCTAAATACTAGCTACTCTCCCTCACTTTCTTTCTTTTTTTGTTGTTGTTGAAAAATATGTCTATTTCAAATTATATAAAAATGATGTAATCAAATACTGCAATGTCTCGAATCAAGTTGCGGAGTTACATTGAATAAACACTGTTTGGCAAAATATTTAGCAGAATGGTGATTTTATACCAAAGTTGGTTATATACCAATGTTTATTTTGTATTCATTTTAAGTCAACATCATATTCGAAGGTATTTTATACTAGAGATTGAAGTAACACCGCTTTTATTAAACTATAACATGAATCATACATAAAAAGAATAACAGAATTTACCAAAAATATGCGAAAGTACAAAAGACCACATCAACCACCACTAACCGAAAATAGACATACAAACAAAGACAAACGACGACGAACAACGAACAACACGTGATCTAAATAACTTGATTTGGCACAGGTACGAAATTTGAAGCATCGTTATAAATAGGTGTCTTACCAAAATCAGATTCACAGTATTGCTGTTGTGGATGGCGTAGTGCACACATGCAATCTACATATTGAACAGCATGAAAAAGCAAAGCTGCTACCAAAATGTTTACAGCTGCCATTTTCTATTTTCTAGAAAAAACAAATTAACTTTGAATTTACATGAAATAAAGCATCAATGTTAAAGGTCTTTACGTGGACTGCTTCTACAGCAATATCATTTTTAGTAGGTTTTGGTTTTTCTGCCAAATGCAGTCGAAATATTTTTGTTGTCGAAATCTAGATCCTTATGAATTAAAAAGTTTTAAAAGTTTTGTCTGGAAAGTCGGAAAACTCGTGTTGTTTATGGTCTATTGTTAGGAAAGGGGAAAAATAGTATGCTGAATTCTGATATGACAATCTTTGATAAATGAAGTTATATCATGTATTCTGAATATTGTTCTCAATAATCCTTATATAATTTGAATATCTACAAATTCATAAATGTAATTGGTCAGTTATAATGTTTTCCCTAATTTTACACTTCAATACACCCATATTGTCGAAACTTCTTCCGTAACCTATTCAAACATTGTGATATATTCATGCGCGTAAACACATGGATGAATGGAACCTGGGTCCCAAGAAGGTTGATATTGAAAGAAAGAAATAAGGTTTCGGTTGAAATTTATACAGATAAATTGTTGTGTAACTGGGCCGCTTACCCAATCATTTTACATATATGTCTTTTAGAAGTTTGTGAGTAAATGGCCACAGTTTACACATCAATAACCTCTAGAGCAAAATGTGTTAAATCCTTATATTTTCAACCAAAACGTTACAACAATAAGATAAAAATACAAAAAAATCTACAAGAACAGTCAGTACAACGCAAGAAAATTAATATTGAAATGTTATAACTTATCCAAGTTTCAAGGTCTTATGCTGAATTTTAACAGACTGACTTTTAAGAATAAGATACTGACCTGATTTCAGATGTGATGAACGACGTACATGTGATTCGATGATGAAGAGAAGGATTATTTAATATACAAACAATAATGAGTTTCGGATGATGTAGGTGAGAGGTTTCTTCCGTTCTCATTGGTATTGATGTCAGGAGTGTTGACAAATACCGAGGACTTAACTATATGTGTAACTCATCTCCTTATGGGCCTGTATTACATGAAAAAAGTTAATGTGCGAAATGTTAGTGGGAGGTATATGTTGTTTTTTTTCCCATTTCTATTTCAAATACTCCCTAAATTTATAAATATTATGTAAGAGTACACTCGAGTGTTTTATACTTTTGTTACATTTTACTCAGACACCTATTTTCTAGGTAAACACCCAAAACAAACATGTATGTAATTTAGTGATGTAACGTCAAACACCAACATTGGCTCCGTCACAATAACAACAATAGTCTACGTCAGTCAAAATATTTTAATTTCCCATCAAAGGAAAACATGATTTATATCACTAAAAAATAAAGGAAGCAAAGATTACAAAATAATTCTGGAAAGCATTAAAACCGCAAAATACAATCTAAATCAAGGCTAAAGAAAGCCTTCACTTTTGTATGTTAGAAGGGATCAAAAAGTAATGTTCATAGTAGTATTCTAATGCTCTTTATTTCAATCCTGCAATCACCCAGCAATTACAATACTATCATGCTTCTATGTTGAGCAAACGGTAATGTTAACACTATATCACTAGTTTTTGAAGGTGAGGAAAATGGGTATTTGTGGTATTTTTCAGTTAAACTCATTAGATGTTTAAAAGTACGTTCTTTAGTATGAGGCGCCGTTTTACTATTTATTACCTATTTTCTGATATCAAAAAATGATTTTCTGATATCAAAAATTCTATTTTTTGATATCAGAAAATCGATTTCTTGATATCAAGAAATAAAGAATATTTTCTGATATCAAAAATTCGAATTCCTGATATCAAAAATTCACATTTTTTGATATCAGGAAATAGATTTTTTGATATCAGAAATTCGAATTTTTGATATCAGAAAATATTTTTGATTTTTTGATATCAAGAAATAGATTTTGTGATATCAAAAAATGATTTTGTGATATCAAGAATTCGAATTCCTGATATCAAAAAATGATTTTTTGATATCAGAAAATAAGAAATAAATGAATGATGGCTCCCTGTGTGTCATTTAAAACATTCAGGCTCACCAATGAGGCCAAACATCAGGAATTATCTGAAATAATGTTCCCGGTAGACCAATTGTTTTATAGTGTGGAGTACCACTATACACGGTATTGGTCATTATATTGATGACATTGTGTCCCTTGTTACAAAAACAAAATGCTTATACACTTCAAGTTTTATAAACATGAATAAGACTTCAAAGTCTCCGGAAAACTGCTATTTAATAACAATATTTGAAGTAAAAAAAATATTTACACTAATCTTCAGTTTGATCAAACTTATTACGAAATTTAAGACCCATGCACTACAAGACAATATATGGAAGATTTTTTTAAATTATTCCTAAATAAAACATATTTACTCTTGTGTCATACAATCCGAATGGGCGGGATATGTCGACCTAAGAATTTATTACATACTGGAAAATGTTTTCAAGATTAAGATACGATGGCTCGATAATATATTCAGGTTCAACTGGCGATATACACGATCTTTTCGCCTTATATATCTAATACAATGCATAAACAAGTCTAAATTGAAAACAACGTTCTAACCTATGATTGCGTTGGATAAAATTTTTATACGTGTGCAAGCAAAACAAGTTTCTTGGTAGAGAGGGGTCTAAATACAGCACAAACAACATTTTCCAAAAGATCAAAAAAGTGAAAAAGAATATTTTAACAAAACGCATTTGGCTAACAGGTCGAACAACTGATGTTCTTAAACCCTGCTGACTGCCATTGGCGATTGCCAAATAAACGGATCACAAGATGTAACAAAATTGATCTATATTATAAATTTAATACCAAACAGAAAACAATAAACTTGCGGAAAAGATGGTATACCGCAAACATGAGGTGCAAAAATTTGTACACCATATCCGGATTTCGACAATTAATATCTCTTCAGTGATGTTAGGAATCGAAACGGTATTTGGAAGACCATATAGTTTACCTCAGTTTAGGATAGACTCTTGAATTTTGAAGAGTCGAAATATATACCCTACTAAATTGTACTTATACCACTTTTCTCAAAATGAAGTGAAAATTTCTTGACAATCCTTTCAATATAAAGACAAACTTTTCCAAAATGAAGGTATTTTAGAGATGAAAACGTACATCCAACCTACTGAAACGTTTCATTACTTCACAGAAAAAGCTCATATGTATCTAAAATGTTTATGGACGACGCGGTTCATAAGAAATACTAGCAGTCTCGTAAAAAGACGAAATAGACAAATCTTTCGAAAATACAAGACATGCATTTTTTTTATGTTGTTGTTGGCTTTGAACTAGTTGTCACTATCGCATCTGTAATTTGTGTCTTTTTGTTGTTGTTACCCTGCCACGTTTGTTCTTACACTATGTTGTAATGTAACACCAGTGTCCCAGGTTAGGGGGAGAGTTGAGCGCTCAAACATGTTTCATCCCGCCATATTCTTTATGTATCTGTTCCAAGTCCGGAGCCTGCAGTTTAGTGCATTGTCTTGGTTCATAGAATTGAGAATGGAAATGGTGGGGGGATATGTCAAAGAGAAAACATCCCGATCAAAGAGCAGACAACAGCCGAAGGCCACCAATGGGTCTTCAACGCAGCAAGAAAATCCCGCACCCGGAGGTGCATGGTCCTCAGCTGGACCCTAAATAAAATTGTGTACTAGTTCAGTGAAAATGGACGTCACACTAAACTCCAAAACATATCAATGAAGTAAAATTAAAAAATATACAAGACCAACAAAGGCCAGAGGCTCCTGACTTGGGACAGGCGGAAAAATGCGGCGGGGTTAGACATTTTTTGTGAGATCTCAACCCTCCCCCTATACCTCTACCCAATGTAGAACAAAGAAAAACATAGCAATACGCACAGTAAAACTCAGTTTAAAAGAAGTACGAGTCCGATGTCAGAATAGGTAATAAAATAAACTAAGCATAAATGAACAAAGGACTACTAGCAGTTACTGACATGCCAGCTCCAGACCTCAATTAAACTGATTGAAAGATTATGTCTTCATCATAAGAAAATCAAGTACAATCCCTCCCGTTAGGAGTTTAGTATCATATACCATCATAGAATACATGAGAAGAACATAAACCGTATCATGCCAACAAATGGTTTTAGAATAAATGTGTTTATTTCCGATGCAAAGACCCTATGAGTGAATCAATATTAATACCAAAATATTCAATCATTAATGACTAATTGACAACAGTATCGTAACTACCGGTATATCCTTTCCGAATAAGTCTTTTTAAAGGTTTGGTTAAACTTTGAGGTGAATGCCGACATTTTTGTTCTTTGTAAAGAATATTTCCATAAAATATTGGATGTGAAATACCTGAACGTATAAGAAGTCTGAATGTTGATTTATATTTACGAATGATGTCTGCCGTATTTGTTTTACGTAAATTGTTTTGTTATAAATCATATAGGCCTTTAGCTTTCTAAATTGAGTTGTTTATTTCTTTTTCATATTGGGGCCTTTTATAGGAGACTATATGGTATGGGGTTTTCTCATTGTTGAAGGCCGTACGGTTGCTTATAATTGCTTACATCAACTTCATTTGAACTTTGGTGGCTAGTTGTCTCATGGGCTATCATACCACATCTCCTTATTTTTAAACTTAACAGAACTAACTTACTTACTAAATCCTCAACATAAACAACGGGAAAAAAAATATAAAAACAAGATGAACAAAACACTGGGGCTTGATATTTGCAAAAACCTGACTGCACAAATCTGTTTCAGAGGAAACCAATAATTGCTTATAAAAGAAGTGAGAACTTACAATTGTTGACTATAAACCTTAAAATAATAAATATGTGAAACACAAAAAACACAAAACTTCTTATATTGAGACTGATGAAGCCGAACTCTGATATATGCTTTCGTGTATATTACACGACCGAAACACCAGACTTAATGTAAGGGCTCATTGCTGAACGTTGATGCTTTTATTGACACACAGGGAGCAATCGTTGATACTTTTCTTATTTTCTGATATCAAAAAATCATTTTTTGATATCAGGAATTCGAATTTTTGATATCAAAAAATCATTTTTTGATATCAGAAAATGTATTTCTTGATATCAAAATATCGTCAATAATATTTGATATCAAAAAATCTATTTTTTGATATCAGAAAATAGATTTCTTGATATCAAAAAATGATTTTTTGATATAAAAAAATCGAATTTCTGATATCAAGAAATAAAGATTATTTTCTGATATCAAGAAATCGAATTCTTGATATCAAAAAAGGCAATTTTTGATATAAAAAAATTGAATTCCTGATATCAAGAAATATTTTTTGATATCAAGAAATATTTCCTGATATCAAAAAATCATTTTTTGATATCAGGAATTACATTTTTTGATATCAAGAAATATTTTTTGATATCAGAAAATAAGGAATAAATAGTAAAACGGCGCCTCATACTTTAGTTGCACGAATCATCCTCTTCGCCTCGACAGCCATAGTTTTCATTACCTAAGTGGTTTTTTTTTACAGAAACGTAAGCTTTCTTCATTTTTAGTCATGGTTTGAATGTACAAGGAAATGTAATTTTTAGTCCACGTCCGCTGGCATTCAGATTGTAATACCAGTAATTGTGTATTGGTAATTTAATGAAATCAGCAACACTTTGTAAAATGAGTATGTCTTGAGCACTTAAACAATGCCAGAATATATCTTAGACAATTCCGATTAGCATAACTTATATTGAGTTTCCCTCTAAAAATCCAGATTCTGGAGTATCATAGGTATAAGACAGAAGTTTGTTAAGATAACTGACTCTCTGGTTCCTATCAGGATTGGTAGATTGAAACCCATTTCATTTCACCATGTGCATAATCTCCCGTAAAATAAAGTTTGTTTTTATGTATAATGATATGAATAAGGGTATGAATAAATAATAAATATTTACCATATGCGCATTTATATAGTAACATAAATGTAT